ACTTGCATGCGTCGAAGAGCAGGTACACGTTTAAAGGTATGCACTTTCTCATATCCACGCAGATTCTTGGGTCGGCACCGAGACCCCCCTGGCGACCCTTGAGGCCACCTTTGGCGCGCTTCGCGCGCCAAGAAAAATATATATAGAGTCGACCCGCACGGACCTCCGAATGCTGATGCTTATGCCTTACGCTGGCGGTGCTATTCGAAGGCATTTGCAATGGCCGAGCAACCAGCTAGTTACTCATCCCGAGTTTTCGATCCAAGGGTTTCCAGCGCTAGTACCCGCTTCTGCTCTTCCCCGACCGCCGCTTCGACTCTCAAGTCGCCCACTGCTGATGATGCGCATCCAGACCACGGTGCGTGGAGAAGCCCGCGCGCGCAAGCAGCCCGACCAGCGGACCCAGCCCAGGCGCCCGATGATGATACAAAGCCACGCGGGGACTGAGCGGCGAGAGGGGTGGATAACCTGGGCGCACAAGGGGTAGGGCTTCTAAGAAGGAGGTGGCTTCTAAGAAGGCGCCGACTGCCATTCTAGGGAGCCATGGGCGCGCGGCCTCTTAGGAAGCTTCTTAGAAGCAAGGGACAGCTGCATTGGCATCACCAAGGGGTCTTTGAAAGCAGGCCAGCCGATACTTTCGAAGCACGCCAGGAGGAGCTTCAGAGAAACCACCACCAGCTTCTTTCAGGGGGGGCCCGCGCCTTCTATGAAGTGGGCGTGCTCCTAATGGGGGGCCCAAAAATATACACCACCACCACCTCCCTTACCCCCTCCCTCTCACAGGAAAGAGGAAAAGGAAGAGGAGGGTAGAGGAGAGAGGAGGATTCGACGTGGTGGTGTATATTCTTCGGGTCCCCACCTAAAGCCCTTCCCTCCCCCGCCCATCCGGCCCCTCAGAGGTCCAGAACGCTCTCCCGGGGGTCATTCCTCGTCCCAGACCCGTCTCTGATAAATCGGCGATGCGCAAGAGGGGCCCCGGGCAAGAGTGACCTTCAGTGCGCGGACCGAGGGGGCGTAAGGTGGCCAAATCCAAGGGCGCAAGCAGCCACTGTCGCACCGCGCTCGGCGGTCGGGGGGGCTCTGGCGAGCCCGCACCGGAGCTCGCTCTGGCGAAGGGTCACTCTTGTGTGCAGTCGATGGTAGTCTCGGGGCCCGAAAGCGGTTCCCGAGGGTCGAAATCGAGGAAACCAAACGCCAGCTCAAGAAGTCGCGTCGCCAGAGAGCTGGGCACGCGCCCGGGCGGCGAGAGGGACGGAGACCCCTCTGCTTGAGCAGGGAACGAGCGTCCCGGCGTTTCTGGATCACGAGATGCACTTAGAGAAGTGTAGAGCGTTTTTATCACGAAAGCCATGTTACCTAACAGCGAAGACTGATAGGTTTCTAGTAGGGTCAAAAGAGAACATCATGACGCCCCAGGGGGGTCTTGGCGCGATCCGGGGGAGGATGCCGGGGGGATGCCGGGGAACTCGTTTTAAGCAAACTGTAACGCACTTCGTGGTCTTCGAGTTCCCAGAACACCATTCCTGGGCATGATTTTGAATGCCCGGAGCCAACTGTAGGCCGCTTGGTGTTCTTCGTGTTCCCAGAACACCATTCCCGGGCCACATTTTGAATGCCCGGAGCCAACTGTAGGCCATTTCGTGTTCTTCGTGCTCCCAGGACACCATTCTCGGGCCACATTTTGAATGCCCGGAGCCAACTGTAGGCCACTTCATGTTCTTCGTGTTCCCAGAACACCATTCCCAGGCCACATTTTGAATGCCCAGAGCCAACTGTAGGCCACTTCGTGTTCTTCGTGTTTCCAGAACATAATTCCTGTACCACATTTTGCTTGCCCGATGTCCCCGTTCGAAAGCAATGACTCGTTCGAAGCAAAATCCTTTGATAGCGGTCTCGTTCGGAGATAAATAAGCTACTTGATAGCAGTGTCTCGTTTGTACTATTACTGCTACTAGTCCTTCTACTGCTACTGCTAGTGGCATTACTGCAACTACTGGCATTGCCACTGCGACTGCGACTGGGACTGCCGTTGCCACTGCGACTGCCATTGCGAATGCGATTGCGACTCCGAGTACATCAGAATTCTACAACAGGAATCCTACATGAATCTAAAGGGGAATGCTTCCAGATATGCTCATGCACATCGCTGTTAGGTTGCTTTGCCGGGATATTTTTTGAACATTCCACTGATTGAGCATGGCAAGACGGGGAACATAAGAAGACGGGCTCACCCTGACATGTTCGAATCAAGAGTCGTGCAAACTACACAAGGTTCTTAAAGCAGTCTGTGCGGGCCGAAAGGCAGGTGAGCGACGACAAAAGGGGCCTTGCGCGAGATGGCATAGCGACCTTACGCCGTGGCTTACGCGGACTGCCAGCGCGGCACAATACTTTGGAGACGAGGGCGCTTGCGCGCCATCTTACGCGGGCAGCCTGCGCGCCAATGTCGGCGCAACCGCGCCCGTTTTGCTGCGTCGCTCAGGTCAGGACGCTCCGCCACTGTTTGAACACCCTGTGCGGCTGCCCGGGCCCCCGCGCGGTGCCCTGCGACCGGCCGTGGCCGCGAAGGTCCACGCGCAGTGTGTGGCCCGGCCCGCCCGCCGCGTACAGCATCCTGGCGGCGGGGCGCCCGAGCCACGCGCGCCACCACGACCGCTGCCGGCGCTGCCGTCGCAGCAAAGCAGCGCCGGCGGGCGCTCTTCGGCGGCAAGGGCGCCGCCGACGATGCCGACGACGCCGACGACGCCGCCGACGCCGACGACGACAACGACGACGACGACGGCGACGGCGACGGCGACGGCGACGGCGACGGCGACGGCCCATGAGATCTGGGCGTTGCCGTGTTTTGCACCAGGCGTTTTTGTGCACTTCCTGGCCCCCGGACCATCACAGGCAGATCGGTCTAGCTCGAAGAGTGCAGCAAGAGGATGGCCATCGCGAGGGCCGCCGAGGACCGAGGGCGGCCGTTGACTCCTTGCGCCGCTGCCGCAGCAGCGCACGCGCCTCGCCCATCGCCGCAGCTGCTGCCGACGTCGCTGCCCACAGCGGGCTCGGCGCGTGTGGCATGTGTCTTGGCTTTCGTGTGTTTCTCTCTGGGGGCCGCACTGTTGCGGCGCAGCTGCTTCTCAGTCCTGCACCTCCCCTGCGCACCGCATCCGCGCGCACCGCGTTCGCGCGCTGCTGTCTGGCTGGTCGATCAACGCAGTGGTGTTGCACTGCATGGAGGAGGAGATCAGGCAACAGGTGCTCCAACACAGTGGGCCGCTTAACATCCTCAATTGCCCTCGCCCTCCTCTGCTCCATTCTCCTATCCCCGGCTAGCCTACTCGTTCCCCCTTCCTTGCCTTTTCATCACCATGCTTGTTGCCATCACTGTCGTCGCCGTCGTTACCGCGCTGCCGCCCTAAACTGACAATCGCCAATCACTGACCAAACCTTTTCACACTAGCCTTGCAAAAGGTCTTCTAACTGCGCTCCACCATAGGCACGAATCGTCGTGCCTCAGAGTCCAGCACAGTCACAACTGATTGCAAGGACGATCGATTTCCCAAGGGTACCTTTGCATCCTTGCCTCTTCGGTCATCGTTAGCCAACCCTCACCTACTTTCGATGGCCAGCCCCGCTCGAATAGCTTCGACATGGGCGTCCAAGGCCCGTGCATCCCTATCGCCGATCCTTACTCTCAGATGTTTGACTGTAAGCGTCTGGCGCACACCACAAGGCGAGCTCGTGGAACGACCGACAGAACACCACGCAGCGAGGGAGCACCCCTCGACAGGGCGAGAAGTCGACGGGCAACGCCCAGAACGCACGGGCGGCGTCGCAGTAAGCACCTCGACAGAGTACATGCAACTGGGACAAGCACGCAATCGTCTTTCGGCACTCGCCATCGCTCGGACGTCCATTCCCTGTGCACTTGTCGATTTCGTGCACCCACGACGCTCCTCGATGGTCCTCGCCGAGAGAGCATGCACACGTACGAGCGGTGCCGAGAGCATGGCCGACGTGATGCAGTAGTGGTGGTGCCTCTAGCCCGGCCAGAGGAGTGCCGCGCCGCAGAGAAGAAGTGAGGCAGGACGCCTTCTCCCCGGCGGACAAGGAGGCGCGGATGGTGGAGCCCGAGCTGGCCCGATGTCCCGGGCCGCGCGTGACGAACATACACACGGCCACTCTCACTTGTGAGCGTTTTTATACTCGGTGTTTCGGCATTGGGCGGAGGGGGGGGGTCTGGCTCCGGACCTCTGCTTCGTGCGACTGTTTGCGACAGTGCGGCCTCTGGTGGAGACCCTAGCTGCTCGAAACAGGCGCATAAAGCCGCCAAGATCTACTCCAGGGGGGGGGGGGGCGAGGGCCCGCGCCGATCGGAGAAGGAACGAATACAAAACGCTCACCTTTTGGCCCACGACGCGGCGATAGCGGCCTTCCCTGGTTACGGCGGTTACAGAGCCACGCGCCAGCTCGGCAACGAAGTGGCCCCTTGGTGTGGAGACGTGCTCCCGGCTGGAGCGAGGCACGGCAGAAGCGAAGGCACATACACTTTCTTCGGGCGCACGCGGGCGGGGCGAGGAGCCGCTCGGCCGTGTGGGAGTCCCGCCCGACGGGGCCACCGCCGGGCTAAGCTGGGCACCGAAGGAAGTCCTGGGAGTCGAAGGGGTGGAAAAGGGCATGGGCGCCGGCCCCTCACGGGGCAGTCCCAGACATCCGCCCCGCGCTCCAGTGTTGCTCGATGCGCGACGTCCCCAAAGCCCACTGTTGTTCCTGACTCGTTCTTTGACGCTCCTGGGGCCCCGGAGCGGAGTATACGCCACGCCCTCCTGGCTTGGCCATAGAAGAGCCTGTATACTCAGTTCCTGGGCCCGGGAAGGGCCCGGCCAAGGGGCAATGGATACGTATAGATTTCGTCGCCCGGCTTGTTCCTCAAGACTTCAGAGGCGAACGATTCAAGGCTATGAAGGGCGATGGAGCCTGGTTAGTGGAAGACTGGGCCTGATGACGCCCGACGGAGCCAAGGATGAGGCCGGATTGAGCGCGGCTCAGATACCAAGAACCAGAAACTGGGCACGGCCAGATCCGGCCCGTCTTCGACCAGGGGTGCACCAGCGCGGACTCAGAAGCCACGCAGCCCCACGGACCCACGCAGCGCCAAGGAGGCGCCAAGATTCTCTGGCGCACGCCCCAGCGAGGCTCGGGCCGGGCGAAAGGGGGGGATAGCAAAGGGGGGGGTTTGAGAATCAGCTCACGTAGCTGATTTTACTGGCGCCTCCCAGCGCCGGTAGGCGCCCATGTATCGAGGAATGGGCCCGGCGGCGGGGCCGAAACCAGCTGCACGCAGCAGATTTCGCACCCCTCCCTTTCCCAAACCCCCCTTTCGCCCGACCCGAGAGGCCAGGGCGGCGCCAGGGGGGGCGGGGCGGGGCGGCCGTCCCCGCGACGCCCCGCGCGTCGTCCGCGGCGCAGGAGCCGCCGAGGCCGTGGGCCCACGCCAGGCTCCGGACGCCCTGGGCGGGGCTGCCTGGCCGCCGAGCGGCCGACGGCGGCGGCGCCGGCGGCGGCGGCGGAGACCGCGGCGACGACGGCGGCGGACGCCGAAGTCGCCGGCGGCGGCGGCGAGGCGCGCGGGGAGGGCCCTGGCCCGTCGGCAGCATCCAGGTGCTCCTCCTCCGGCCTTCCGGCTCCGCCTCCCCCTGCTCCTGCTCCTGCTCCTCCCCGTCCCCGGCCCCTCCCATGCCCCAGTTCCCCCCCCCCCTCCTCCTGCTGCTGGTGCTCCTCCTCCTCCTCCTCCTCTCCTCCTCCTCCTCCTCTCTCCTCTCCTCCTCCTTCTCCTCCTCCTCCTCCTCCTCCTCCTCCTCCTCCCCCTCCTCCTCCCCCTCCTCCTCCTCTTTGCTCTCCCCTCTCGATCCTTCTCATCTCTCTCCTCCTCCCACTCCTCCTCCTTACTATACTCCTCTTTCCACCTGATAACACTCACAATTCCCTCCCCGTCCCTGTGGATAATGGGAAAAATTACCAAATCGGCGGGTGCAACGAAAACCTCCAGGCTGACCCGGAGGGAAGCATGGGCAACTCCCCCTCGATCTGGGTACGTGGGCGAGGGGCGGGACTCTTGCACGTCTTTGGGGCGCTTGCCAGTGCCACTTTCGTGATCTTGAGGAGGTTGCTCTTCCGGGGGATGGAATGAGACGTGCAGAGAGTCGAACAACAATGGCGACGTTGGGACGACGGCACCGCACACGCATACGCACCGAGTTCCAGCTCTCTTTGTTCCAGCGCGCTTCGGGGAGGCCTGCAGGGGGACTTCCCAAGCACTTCTGTTGCAGAGCAAGGAGACTTGGAAGTCCGCTGCCACTCCGGAAGGCTGTCCCAATAGCGCGACCAAGACCTCGATGTGAACGACTCAATGGCAATCTACGCGGTCGCAGCTGTAACCGTGCAACTCGCCATCGTTCGGACGTCCATTCCGTGTGCCTTTTTCGGTTTCGTGCGTGGCTTTTTCGCCAAATGATCAAGGATGCTCCCCGATGGTCCTCGCCGAGGAAAAAAACGCACACGTCCGAGCGATGCCGAGGCAAAGGGCTTTCCAAACACTCTCCGACGCCCCGCCACCTCCCGAGAAGGCCTAACGGCCCCTCCCACCTCCCGCCTCGGCGCGCCGCCGATCCTCAAAGCAGCATTCGGTCGGGCGCATCCTCCAGCAGGCGAATTTTGCGGACGAAACATCAAAGGCAGCCAAATGATAACGCAATTTTGCAGCGCATAGACAGCCAATCTGGAAAGCAATTGTCAAACAAATGGCCTTTCCATCGACCCCATATTTGCTTAGGTGTAATATACGATTGCCGCTTATCCTGCGCGGCAAGGATTTTTCCCCCTGCTGAGCCGATGTGTCGTGCGACATGGCTTGCGAACGAACAAATGATAACGAAAACGAGTCACGGACAGTAGGAAAATCGGCCCCCGACTATTGTTTCAACTATTCTTCGGTATTCCTCCTGTAGACAGACGCACCTGACCTAAAGGTAGCATGTCGGAGGAGGGCCAATCGAGATAACGCCTCTGAACAGGAGGAGGAGGAGGAGGAGGAGGAGGAGGAGGAGGAGGAGGAGGAGGAGGAGGGGTCCGGGACACCTCCCAGGGTCTGTCCTGGCCTTTTCCTCGGGGCGGATCCGGCCGTGACGACCCGAGAAGTCCGGGACGGCCGGCGAAAGGGCGGCGAGCGCGAAGCGAGGGACGCCGTTGCCTCGGCCAGCCCCCCTTTCGATACAGGCGGCCTTGATTGGACAGGACACGCGAAGAGGGCACGAGACCCTTCCGAGGGCCACACTGCCAGGGGGGATGCAGGGGGCACGTGTCGCGAGGCACAGGAAACGAGGGTCCGCTGGAGCTGGCAGGGTCGACCTACCAATCCGCGCCGGCCGTATTGACCGGCACGGCAGGCGACCCAGATATTACATGATGTGATTGTTTCAATGCGCGGCCCGGGGTCCAAACCCCTCCCCCCGAGGTGTTTTTGTTCGTCCCAGCTCCATGTTCGATGGTCCCGGGGCCCGACGATGAGCCCCAGAGGCCGAGACCGAGGAAACATCCGAGGCCCCCAACAGCTCACAGTGCTCGGAGATCGGAGGATGAGGAGCGGCCTCAAGTTCCACAAATCCGCCCGCACTCCCCTCCCAAAACTGGCGTGGACTGATCCGGCTCAGCGCAAACCCAGCGCAAACAGTTTAGAACATTTTACTATTTTTGAATATTCCCCCTGTAGAGGGACAGGCCCGACTTAACCCAAAGCTGGCGTTGCATGATCCTGCTAGATCGGGCGCTCTGGCCGAGCCCCCTTGGCACTGAGCGCCGTCTCCCAGACCCCCGACGTCATGATTCTTTCTGGCAGGGTGGGGCCTGGAGCTCTCGACCCATTCCCCGGGACCAGCTTTTCACCCTGCGTTGTCTCTTCGGGGATCTCCTGACCCGGGTCAATCCAGACCCGGGTCAGTCAGGCCTTGCAAGATCCTGCAAGATCCTGCACCCAAACCCGGTCAGTGCGAAGGATCCTGCGGGATCCTGCACCCACCGGGTCAGTGCGCCCCTGGCCCTGCAGGATCCTGCAAGATTTTGGCGCCCTGGCTGACCCCCGTTTGCATCGACCCCCGTCTCAAGCCTCCCGATTTCTCTTGCGGGCCTGGGGCCCGGCAGGGCCCCCTCTCTGGGGCCGAAAACAGCTGTGCTTGCCAGCGTGGGCCCCTGGACAGTGACGCCTTGCAGCCTACGTGATGCAAGCTAGGTGGTGCAGTCAACGTGGTGCACTCCGGGTGCTGCAATCCGTGTGGTGCACTGTGGGCGGTGCAAAGCAGTGCCAAGCAGCGCAGTGCAGGGCAATGCAGCGCGGCGAAGCTGGCGGCGACGGACGACGGCGACGGGCGGCGACAACGGCGACAGACGGCGGCGACGAGAGACCCCCCGCCCCCCCCCCAGGGAGGACCTCGCGAGGAGGAGCAGGAGGAGGAGGAGGAGGAGGAAGAGGAGGAGGAGAGGAGGAGGAGGAGGAGGAGGAGGAGGAGGAGGAGGAGGAGGAGGAGGGAGGAGGAGGGAGGAGGAGGCAGGAGGAGGAGGAGGAGGAGGAGGAGGAGAGAGGGGAGGAGGAGGAGGGAGGAGGAGGAGGAGGAGGAGGAGGAGGAGAAGGAGGACGGGTCGCCTGAACCCCTCGGAGAAGCCTTCCAGCGGCACCGGGGGCCCGGCCATTGCGGCGACGGACGGCGGCGGCAGGCGGCAACAAGCTGGCCGGGGTGGCACCAGGGCACCGTGGCGGCGGCGAGCGGCGGCCGGCGGCCACGAGCTGGCCGGGCCGCCGACCAGGCCCGCTTCCTTGGAAGGGAGCCCCAAGTGCAAGTGCTGCTCGGGGAGAATCTCAAGCTCCGTCGCGGCGCGTCAGTATCCAAGGGGCTCTCTGAGAAGGGACCAACCGTCCCGGCATTCCTATAGTCCTACCACGAAGTGTTCTTAGAAGCCCAAGAATGTTCCAAAAACAAAAAAGATGCTCTTATAACATGAACCCGATGTGTTAAAACAAGATAATCTCAACCAGAAATGTTCGAAGAACATTTCGTGGAAACCACAAAAAGTTCTTAGAACATTGCTTGGTAGGGCTATAGGCACGCCGGGACGCTTCGCCACTGCTTGAGGTCTGCGCTACCTGCGTGCTGACCCACCACACACAACCACCGGGGCCTGCCACGACGCCGCGCAGCTCTCCCAGCGTCGCCTCGCGGGCAGCACAAGGCCGCAGGGGCGGAGGCTGCGGCGGCAGAGGCGGCCCTTTCGGCAGCGGGTGAAAATGCCGACGACTCTCCTGTCATGAAAGGCTGGAGCCGGCTGGGGCTGAAGCGGCTCAGCACTGGCTCTGGCCAGATAGGGGAAGACATAAAGGGCTCTCGTCGCCACGGCTGGATGCGGCTCGAAAAAGTGGTCGGTTTCGACCCTGGGAGAGGACCGAAGACAGATGTTGAGCGGATTTGTCCTCGCCCCCCCCTCATTTCCTGATCTTCTCGGGCACAGGCAGCGCAGGCCCCTGGGCCTCTTACAAATCCACTGACGTATGTACCGACCTTAGTGAGCCCTGGAAACGACAAGGCCGTTTTTGTTACCGGTTCTGTTTTGCCGTTTTTTTCCCGGTTCCGACGCCGTTTTTCACCGGTTCCGTCCCTGTTCTTTTACGGGTTCCCGCTCCGGTTCCAATCCTGGAGCCTTTGTTTTGCCGTTTCTGGTCAACTTTTTTGTGACCGTTTCCGTCTTCAAGGAACATGTTACTGGAAACGGTGAAAAAACGGCCCTGCCGTTTACGGGGCCCACTGAGGTACTGGCTGCCAGGAAGCTGGACACGCACATGGCTGGATGCACATGCGGAGCATGCGGAGGCTGCCTGCGGAGTACACACGCAGGGAAGTATGCAGCGCCTGGCAGCACGAGGGCCGCGCGCTGTAAAGACGCCCGGCCGCATCTGCAGGAGAGCGGAAGAACAACTGCTCAACCAGCACTAGGTCGGGCCTATAGGGGGGATGTTCGACGAAAGGTAAAACATACTCAGCAAATGCTCCCAAATGGCAAAAACATACTCAAAAAATAGTTCCCAGACAATTAAAACAACAACTATTTTTGAATATTCCTCGTGTAGAGGGACAGGCCCGACTTAAAACCAGCATTGCTGAGCCCCTTCCAAAAGAACTGAAGGAACAGCAAGCCCGTTCCTAACCAGTAGTGTTCCCTGTTTCGACGATGCGACTGCAGACTGGTGAGGCTCGGTGCGGGCGCATGTCCTCCGATCCCCTTCACTCCCTCCCCGCCACCCCAATCCCTTCCTGCATCCCCTCAGTCGCGCGACGGCGAACTCTCGAGAAAATAACCTTGCTAACGCACAGGGCCAGCGCAAATACTTTCGGGCACATAGTAATTAGATCATGTATAATAGCGCTCGCTCGCTTTTTGTGTTTATTGCAAGGTGCAAGATCTGCTGAATCAATTCCCAACAACAGCTAGAGATGAATCGCGTGTAGAGACAGAAATCTATGAAGAGACGGAAGGACAAGACATCGAGGTACACTGCGGATATGGAGGCACGTCGGCGGCCACGACCACGAATGAAGGAAGGAAACATACATGCGCACTCATGCCTCTGAAAACCAAATGCGGAAGTAGTGCCAGATCAACGGGATCCTCCTCCTCCTCCTCCTCCTCGCAAGCGGCCTGCTTCCAGGCGTCCTTGCTGGCAGCCGCGCGGATAAAGTGAGCATGGAGCTTCGACATCCCTGCAAGCGCAGCTCGCGGGCAAGCAATGGCCGTCGGAAGGGAGAAAGGGCGAGAGGGCTCGCTGAAACTGCAGGCAATCTGACCCCGGCCTTCTCGGGCGTGCCCTCCGCCGTGCTCCTCCTCCTCGTCCTCGTCCTCGTCGTCCTCCTCCTCCTCCTTCTCCTCCTCCTCCTCCTCCTCCTCGTCCTCCTCCTCCTCCTCATCATCCTCCTTCGGCTGCTTTTCCACCGTCACCCTCCTCTGCCTCCTCCTCCTCTCTACCACAATGGCGCTCTGCGGATGGTCAGAAGGATGCCTTCCGTCCTCCGCGTCTGCCGTACTTGGACCGTCCGTCGGTCGCGTCATCCCTCTGGTCTCTGCCACGGGGCTGGGGGAAGATGCCGATACCGCTACACCATGGGCCTGCCCTGGGGTTCGTTTTGGTCAGGAGTTCGAGGCGAGTCCAGCCGTGGCGACGAGAGAAGAGTCGGAAGGTTGGGGGGTGATTGGAGTGAAAGATTGAAGTGAAACGGAGCTCCCCCACCAGGAAATCGGTTTCGGCTTCGTGTTCGTGCCGCGCGTGCGGGTGAGGCGAAGCTGCGTGCGAGCGGAAAAATCCCGCCGTTACTGGGGACAAGTCGGAGGAGAAATCCGCCGACCTCTTGGGGTCATCGGCGTGTGAGATGCTTCCCCCTCCCCGAACCCCTCCCCCCGGGGCCCGGTCCCGTCGGTTTGGAGGGGGGGGGGTCCGGCCGGCTCGGGCTGAACGCGTCACGGGCCTCAGGATGGGCCATGAGGGCCCCAAGGGGCCCACAAGATGGTCCAAGAGGGCCCCGAGTCGCCGATGGATCGTTCCAAGACGCCCAAGATGGCCCCCAGACGGCCCAAGAGGCCCCCGAGACGCCCAAAGAGGCCCCCGAGAGGCGTCCCAAGAGGGCCCCCAGAAGCAAACATCGTCCCATTCCCTGAAGTAAACGTATGATTTTAGCACATTCATTTCTTGGGCCTTCACAACGTCCAAGACGGCCCAAGAGGCCTCCAAGATCGCCCCAGGACGGCCCAGGAAGCCCCCAAGAAGGCTCCAAGACGGCGCAAGAGGGCCCCGAGACGGCTCCAGGAGGGGGCCCAGGCGGGGGACCCGAACTGAAATTTCGAGCCCTCGGCCCCAAGAAGCCTCCAGGAGGCCCCAAGAGGCCCCCAAGAAGCCCCGAAAAGGCTCCAAGAGGCCCACCAGAGGCCCAGAAAGAGGGGCCCCAAGAGGCCCCCCAAAGGCCCCCCAAAGGCTTCAAAAGTGCTGCCAGGAGGCCCCCGAGAGACCTACCAGGAACCCCAAGGGGGTCGGCGGTGCGGCGTAAGCCCAATAATCTCTCCTCGCGTCAGGTTGGCGAACTGGACCCGCCGTCGTCCCGCGGTTGTCCCAAGGTTGCCCTGTGGTTGTCCCGTGGTTGTCCCGACGGCTGTCCCAATGGAGGCCCTGATGATCGTCTCGATGACTGTCCCGATGGTTTCCCCGATGGCTTTCCCGGTGGTTGTCCCGACGACTGCCCCGGTGGTTTTCCCAATGGTTTTCCGGATGGTTGTCCCGTCCTGATGGTTGTGCGATGGCTGTCCCGATGGATTTCGGCAAAGAAAATGTACTCGGCGCCTTCGATGCCCCGAGATCTTTTGCCCAGCTGCAACATAACAATCATGCTGGTTGTCCCAATGGTTGCCATCAAGGGTAGTTAGATCGACAGATGGATAATGACATCGATAGGTCAACAATTAGGTTGAGAGAAAGCTCGAGTGTGAGATTGATAATGTGATCGGTACGTCATGAGATCGATACATCGATAGGGTGTACAGGTGAGATCGGTAGATCGGTAGTGGGAATCGCACATCGAGACACCGATAGATGGATACTGATGTCAAGACTGGTCTATATGCACATACCGGCAGCTCGACAAACCAATTACTGACAGCAAGGCAGAACATCTTGATATACATATAGCGGAGCCGATCGACAGTGAGACCGATCGAGGTCGTTCGAAGCACGGAAACGGTTTCCCTTGGTGGTTGTCCCGTCATCGACTTCTCCCCGCTCCTTCTCGGCCTCTTCTCGCTCCAGTGAGGGGCACCTTTCTCACTTGCAAGGGAGTGTCCCTGCGCCTCCACTCCCCCACCTGCCAGCACTCGACGTGAGCGGGTGCCCCACGACGGAGCGACAGCCCACCGAGGGAGGGTGCCGGGGACCCCCTGGAGCTGCAGCGGAAGGCTGGCGGGGCCCAGGACAGCCCCCCCCGCAGCTGGGGAAAGCTCTCGTTCGGGAAGGCCTGCCTCTTGCCAGCACCTGCGTTCCCAGATGCCTCGTGCGGTCACAGGGGCGAGGGGGGGGCACCGATCGAAACGAGCAGGCCGGCCAGGGTGCGCAGGCGCGAGGCGCTGGGGTGCTCTCTGGGGTTCGCGCTCGACTGCGATCCGATGGGGGTCCGATGAGCCAGGGCTCACACCGCAGGTGAGGCTGGGAGGGCTCCTCCACATGAGTCCGGAAAGGTGTTTGTGTTGTTTGTTCGGAGGGGTAGATGTTGGGAGCGGACCGCATGCTTTACTAGCCAGCGTCGTCTAGATGCGAGTGCCGCCAGACACCTGAGGCTATCTTGAAGCGAGGATTGGTGAGGCCAGGAAGGCAAGGCACAGAGAAACCGCTTGCATTTGAAAGCCGCTTGCTTCCTCGCCGGGCGCGCGGGGCAGAGCACTCACAACGCCGAGGTGGAGGAGGAGGAGGTGGAGAGAAAGGGAGGACGGTGGACGTGACGGCATTCCCAGGGATTCGGCGACGCAGCTGTGCCACCGAGCTGCGCCCTGCTTGCGTCGCCAAGGTGCAAGCCACGCACGCTGCACGGCGAGGGGCACAGAAGCAGGACGCTCCACGCAGCCGTCACAGCTAGAAAGCCCGCCCGTGCGCAGGCCGCTCGTGACGGACGGCACGCGCACAGACCCTTCGCGAGCACCACCGAGGGGGACGAGAGGGGGAGAGGGGTAGAGGAGAGACGACAAGAGAAACTACATGTTGGCCGGGCGTGCGCAACAAGACGGGCCCGAATCCTACAATGTAGGGGCGGGCGCGGCTGGGCGCGCACAGCAGTGGCGTGGCTGCCCCCCAAACAAGAATTGCAGCAACAACTCAAAAACGAAGAAGCACCCAGGGTGGCGAAGATCGCTGGCCACCAGTGGAGCAACACGTGCAATGCTGGAGCACACGCGTGAGGAAGAAAACAGAGGACGCACAGACAAGACGCGGGGGGGGAGGAGGAGCGGAGGCAGCAGGGCTCACCCCTGGCACAGAGGCCCTCAGAGCTCGACCGTGGCGCGCGGCTCCAGCGCAGCGTCGCGCAGCTGGCGTCGAACTGGGAGTAGGCGCATGCGTTGGACTGGGAGTCGGCGCCAGCGTCGGCCTGGGAGCCGGCGCAGGCGTCCGTCTGAGAGTCGGCGCAGGCGTCGAACTGGGAACCAAACGCAAGCGTCGGACAGGATCGACGCAAGTGCCACATTGGGAGCCCGCGCAGGCGTCCAGATGGGAGTCGGCGCGGGTGTCGGAGGAGTCGGCGCAGGCGTCGGACTGGGAGGCGGAGCAGATGCCGCACAAGGAATCGGCGTGGGCGTCGGAGCGGCGCCGGACTTGGAGCTGGGATCGGCGTCAGTGTGGGACGGTGAAGCTTGAGATGGCGATGGGGCATGGGGGCTTGGTGATGTCACGGAAAACTCGCCAGGTCCTGTGAAGTGGGTTCACGCCCCCGTGAAGTCTGGAAGGGGTCCCGTTCTCCAGGGCCCACGCCCCATTTGGAGACCGCATGACGGACTAGAGGGGGGGCCCTACCGGAAGGCGGCATGGTCAAGTGGATCGAAATGGCGGCGTAAGAAACTCTTGATCCCACAAATGTTGACGACTCTTTGGGGCGAATCTGCTACGTATGGTAGCTTCCGTCAGTCTCCACCGCAAACAACACTACAGTCAAAGCCAACACTGAGGATTGAGTGTAGCGATGAAAGACCCTTGTAATGCGCCGAAGCGGGAACAAAATAACCATTTCCTCAACAACAGCCAAAGTGTTGAAAAGACCCTGGCCATGCAAGACCCTTGCCCCCGAGTGGGAGGACGCCAGGACTAGTGCCGTTCGAAACGGGCCCGTCCTTAATGCCTGTTCTGTTTGTACTGTACCCCAAACCGCAACCACGAAGTCTTGCGAGAGGGCCCAAAAGCTACCGCGCAATGGCGCTCAACGACGGGCCTTGGATTGGCCCTGAGAGCGACAAGGCCGTTTTTTACCGGCTCCGTGATGCAACTTTTCTGCAACTTCTGATGCAAATGTTTGACCCACATTATGTCGCCATTATGTTTTCCGATTCTGGCTCCGGCTCTAGTCCCAGAGCACTGCTTTCCTGATTTCGAGAATTGCTTTGTTTTGTTACAATTCTCACGCTCCAGAATTACCGATGTTCTTTGAGCGGCAACACAAATGCCCACTAAGGTCGGCTGCGAGTAAGACTGGTCCTAGGCGAGAGTGACTTCCAGTGCGCGGATTAAGGGGACGCAAGGTGGCCAAATCCAAGCGCGTAAGTAACCACTATTGCGTCGCATTCATCGATCGGGAAGCCCCAATCGGTCCGCACCAGGTGGTCACTCTGGCGAAGGGTCAGTCTTACGTGTAGTCGATGAACGAGAGGCACAAACGGCCCGCGCATTCTGCGAAGCAAGGGTGCTTCTGAGAAGCCTTCCCCCCTCCCCCTCCCTCCTCTGTGCGTGGCCGACGCGAAAATGCCCACCAAGGCAGGGGCACCAGAGGCAAGCCGGCCACGGCCGCACCACAGATCACTACACCTCTTGGGCTCTTGGTGGCCTCGTGTAGCCTCTTGGGCACTCTTGGGGTCGCGACCTTCCCGAAATGGCTCTTCCATCGTGGAGATCGTCGTCCAGGGTCGGCCGCACCAGCCGCAAGGCATTAGCAACATTTACCTTCTTGCAGAAATGCCTTCTAGTCGGCGGGGAGCGAGGGGGGAAACGAGAAGGGGCGGGCCTCCTCAGGAGGCTCGGAGGTCCCCCCAGCCCTCTGAAAGTCTCTGAGCGCTCCCTGAAGACGCAGAACGCTCCTCAGAAGGCTCGGAGGCTTCTGAGAAGTCCGGCCGCCTGCTGAGAAGGCCTCTCCTTCTCGCTTCCTACAACAGGGCTAGGATCGGGATAAATCGCTCCAGAGCGTTCTGGAGCGCTCTCAGAGCGTTCCGGAACGCTCTGGAGCGGCCGCGGCGCCCAATACATCCTCCAAACCCGCCGATTCTCAGAGATTTCGAATTATCCCGATCCGATTTTGTCCCGATCTTCGCGTCGTTTTACCTCTCCTTCTCGCTTCCCCCCCCCCCGTTCGCCGCCGATCTCAGGGAGGGGCACCAGAGCACGCCGGCCACGGCCGCACCGCCGAGCACCTGCCGCGCGACCACGCCCGTGGTTGGGGCGGCTCTGCAGCCCGGCCTCCTCGCAAACCCCGGAGGTCTGACGTCGGATCCCCAGCTCTGAGCGGGGACCAGACGTGCCGGGATTCCAATAGTCCTACCACGAAATGTTCTTAGAACCCAAACATGTTCTAATAACAAAGACAATTGCCTTAGAACATCAACCCAATGTGTTAAAGCAAGACAGTCTCCACCATACATGTTGTGAGCGGGGACCAGACGTCCCGGGATTCCAATAGTCCTGCCACGAAATTGTCTTAGAATCCAGACATGTTCTCATAACAAAGACAACGTTCTTAGAACACCAACCCACTGTGTTAAAGCAAGACGGTCTCCACCATACATGTTCTAAGAACATTTCGTGCAAACCACAACAGGTTCTTAGAACACTGTTCGGTGAGCCTATAAGCGAGGCCGGACGCTTCGCCACTGCTTGACAGCTGAGCATCGTTTGTCCGTGCCGCCTTCGACGTCCTACAAGATGGCACACACGTCAAAGATCTTATGCGTCCCCAGACACGGGAAATGTCTATACCTGTGGCCTCACGGTCCGGCCTCGCCGGCCGCGCCCCACTGATGCAGACCAGCTTCGTGCGGAAGCCCCGAGTGGTATACACATATCTATATACATATACATATATATAAATGTATATATACATATATATATATATATATAGCCATGGGATAATGAGCGTATCCAAATAATCGCGCTTAGGTGCCCAGACCGCGAAGGCACGTACATGGACACGACCGTCGCTTCTGACTGAACATCCCTTAATCCGACCTCCTCCCCACTGGCCGGTTCACCCCCCTTGATATGGATAATTATAGCCCGTGTATTTGGGGTCTCGAAGAGTATATCCCCGAATGGGGGTTGAGACGGTGGTGGTCTGGATGGGGATGGGGATGGGGATGGGGATGGGGATGGGGATAGGGGTCGGTTAAACGATACTGAGAAATCGCGACTGGATCCCCAGCAGCACTGGGCAATTCAAGTACACAGAATGAATGGATTTCCTCTATTTCCTCCTCCCTCTCCTCCTCGTCCTCCTCCTTCTCCTCCTCCTCCTCCTCCTCCTCCTCCTCCTCCTCCTCCTCCTCCTCCTCCTCCTCCCCCCCCCCCCCTCCTCCTCCCCTCCTCCTCCTCCTCCTCCTCCTCCTCCTCCTCCTCCTCCTCCTCCTCCTCCTCCTCCTCCTCCTCCTCCTCCTCCCTCCTCCTCCTCCTCCTCCTCCTCCTCCTCCTCCTCTTCCTCCTCCTCCTCCTCCTCCTCCTCCTCCTCCCCCTCCCTCTTCTCCTCCTCCTCCTCCTCCTCCTCCTCCTCCTCCTCCTCCTCCTCCTCCTCCTCCTCCTCCCCCTCCCTCTCCTCCTCCTCAAAGGAGGCCGTGAGCGCAGCGGGCGGAAGGGCGCGCGGCTACCCGGCTGCGCGCTCGCGGCGGCCTGGCGCCTTGAGCCGGGCAACGCCCTCAAGCCTGCAGTGGCAATGGAGCAAGCCGCTGACGCTGCCGCATCTGGTGCACGGGGCGGCCACGATGATTAGCAACAAAAGGACCCCTAAGACTTTCGAGGGGGAACTCAGATAGCAGGGCCAAACACACTGGGGATAGGGGGTCGTTTCTACAGCGGTATCGCACCAAATCGTCCAGATAGATCTTCCCGAATGCAGACACGGGGACCTCAATGACGCCACGTCTTCTCTAATGCTATTGGGGTAGGGCCTCCATTTACCCTCGATGGCACTGGGCCTTCATTGGGGAAACCAAACGGTACCGATACCGCTACTCCCCGGACCTCTCCCGGGGTGCGTTCTGACCAGAATCTCGAGGCGAATCCAGCGGTGGCGACGAGGGCCTCCCAGGTGGCCCAACAAGGAGAAATCGGGCGAGGGGGTAGAGGTATGATTCCCTCTCCCTCTTACTTGTCGATATATCGGCCCAAATTGACTGCCTACCAGACCACCCCAAGCCAACCCGAAGACCCGCATTTCGAGTTGGGGGGGTCTACGGCTTCCATGAGGGTTTTCTCAATGCTCCCCGACACCCCCCCCTGGCAATGGAGGGCAAATTGAAGCCTTCGGGTTGGGTTGGGGTGGTTTGGCGGGCGGTGACACGTCATCCCCGTCTCACTTCGGCCTCGGCGGGGGGGGGGGGCCCGGGCCTCGAGCGACTAGGACGAAGGAAGGGCGAGTTCACAACGGGAGGTTTCTTGTTCCGCTGCCTTCGGCCTCTGGGGGCTCTTCTCTGGGCCTCGAGACCGTCCGAGCACGAAGCAGGGGGTCCAGACCGCTGGGGGTCCACGGCATGCAGGAAGCACGACGGGAACGGCGACACCGCCACCACCCCCAGCGCGCGCCGGAGAGTGTCCTCCTGGTGGTCAATGACGTCCCAGCCTTCTTTGGCCCTGGCCACCAGAAAGAATGTTCATAGCACCAAGAAGATACCGGACCTTGAAGGTTTTCACCTGTCGGGCCCTGGGAGGCGATGCTCGTTCGACACTGTTTCGATCCTGGGTGCTCGAAATTATTTCTGGGATCTGGTCCTCAAGTACGATGGGAGCAACATAACTGGTGGTGCGTTCCCCCCCTCTCGCTCGAAACATCCCCCAGCCGCAGCTCGGGGAGGTATCGTAAATGCCCTCGCTGGAGGTGCCCCCCGCTGGTGGCGGTGGTGGTGTCGCCTCTCCTTCCTCCGTCTGGACCTCTCGACCCTTTCCATGCGACAAACTCTCAGACCTTCCTCGCACGGATGGCAGCCACACTGAGACCCAGGCGTCGCATGGGTTTCACACCGACCATTTTCGCCCAAGTTCCAGCCCTGGGACAATTGCAGATCGATCCGGCTCGGGAAATGCAGCAGAGAAATGTGGTATAGGGCTCCGGTCGCGATTCTTCGCTATGCTGTACCTCTTCCAGCAATCCTGTGGTACTGGGTCCTCGTTTTGAATACTCATCGCCCCGCGTCTCCTTACTTCCTCCCTCCCTTCTGCTCCCTCCTCCCATCCCTGCCTAAGCCCTCCGCATGTCCATGTCGGCACACTCCTCACGAGCTTCGTGATCCCATAGCGAGCTCCACCAAAGGCCCCAGTAGCACCGTCCGCATATGGGCATCACGCACGTTTCGGCGCACCCATCAAACGCTGCGTGGCCCCACAAGGAGGTCCACCGACGGCCCCAAAGGAACCGTCCACATGTGGGCGTCGCGCTCGTTCTGGCGCACCCCTCACACGTTTCGTGGCCCCACGGGGAGCTCCACCGAAGGCCCCAAAGGCACCGTCCACATGTGGGCGCCCCACCCGCTTCGGCACACTCATCACTGGGTTCGTGGCCCCACCGGGAGCACCACCTCAGGCCCCAGAGGTACCGTCCACATGTAGGCGTCACGCCAGCTTCGGCACGCCATTCACACGCTTCGTGGCCACATAGGGAGCTGCGCTCCACTGCAAGCCCCAAAGGAACCGTCCAAAAGAGTGGGCGTCACGCACGTTTTGACACACCCATCACACGCTGCGTGGCCCCACAACTAGGGAGCTCCACCAAAGGCCGCAAACGCACCGTCCATTAGTGGACGTCGCACCGGAAACGCTTCGTGGCCTCACAGGGAGATCCACCTCAAGTCCCAGAGGCACCGTCCACATGTGGGCGCCACGCCTGTCTCGACACGCCCGCCCATCACTAGTTTCGCGGCCCCACAGGGAGCACCATCTCGGCCCCAGAGGCACTTTACACATGTGGGCGTCACGCCCGTGTCGGCACACCCCTCACACGACGACAACGACGACGACGACGACGACGACGACGACGACGACCACGACAACGACCACGACCACGCCCACGACGACCACGACCGCGACGTCGACCACAACGACGAAGACGACCACGACGGCGACGAAACCAGCCACCACGACGACAACGACCACGACGACGACGACGGCAGCCGCGCGACGTGAGAAGCTGTGCCGGCGCGGCGTGCAACGGACGCGAGGGGTCCGGGGGCGAGGTGCGCAACGAGCGGAGCACGGTGCGGCGAGCGACGAGACGGCGAGCGGGCGCGCTGTCGGGGTCGGCGCGGCCGCTCAACGTGGCGGTCGGGAACTCTTGCCTCGAGTGTCGGCGGCGGCCCCGCCGACACGCGGCGGCGACGCACTATGCCTTGCGACTTGACAGCGTGTCGCTCCGCGGGGCGGGATGCGGGGAAAGGCCCGGGGCGTGCACGATCGGGGGCGGGGACGCGGATAGCGTGTCGCGCCGAAGCGTGGTGGGCCAGAAGCAGCGACGATAGATGCTCAGCCAAAATTCCGGAGCGAATCTTTCGCGCCGTGAGTAGAAATCAAGATAAAAAGGCGGGGGGCATCACGGACCCGTGGGGGCTGTGATAAAAGACTCGGAATGTGAAACCGGTCCCCCACAAGGTATTTGTGAGTTTCCGCCTTCTTGGGGCCAACCGTCGAACGATAGCCTAAACCCAGTATCCCCAATCAGCGCTTTGTCAGCGCTGTGTGGCGGTGCCGCTGGCAGCGAGCCTCCGCTCCCTGCTGGCCTTGGCGGGCGGAGGCCCGCCAAGAGGCCCAGGACCTCTGGGGTCCGCGGCGCGCCGACTCCTGGGCTGCGAAAGAGGCCGTCCTCCCTGATGTCCCCCTTCCCGCTCAGGGCCCTGTAGGGCCCAGTTGCGCTCGGGGACACCTGATCAGTCTTGCTGGAGCTACCCTTGCATTCTGCCATCGGTGTGGGGCCAGGGCCCAGCCGTCGGCCCCCCGCTCGCGTCTCTGGGGTCGGTGCGAGGGTATTGCATCCAGTAAAGACTCAACTTATTCAAAGCCCCTCGAAGAACCCCATCTCTGGAGAGTGGAGGGGTGACCCCCGTCCCCTCTTGCCCTCAGACGAAGCCTGCTTCTGGCTTCGTCTGAGGTAGCTTGAGCCCGCTCTCGCTCGCTCGAGTTCCTTTTCTTTCTCTGTAATCGTAGTGCTGCGCGTGCTCGTCCCTTTTCCTGCTCGTCCCCTCTGCCTGTCCGCTGCTCTGCGCACTCTTCTCGATGTGGGCGTGCCTCCTCCTCCTCCTCCTCCTCCCCCTCCCTGTCTCTATCTCTCCCGCTCGTCCTCCTCCTCCTCCTCCTCCTCCTCTTCCTCCTCCTCGTCCTCATTCTGACCCTCCTCCTTGTCCTCATCCTACTCCTTCTCCTCCCCCTCCTCCTCCTTGCATTCGCACCTGACTGATCCTCGTCCACCTCCTCCTCATCCTTCTTGTGCTGCTCCTGTTCGTCATTATCGTCCCCATCCTTCTCCTCTACCTCCTCATAGCAGTTTCCGCTCCTTTTCCTCATCCTGCTTTCGTCTTGCTTGCTGTGCTCCTCCTTGTCTTCCTCGTACTCCTTCGGGGGTACTTCGTCCTCCTCCTCCTCCCCCTCTTCGCAGCGCTCCTCATCCTCCTCCTCGCAATGCTCCTTCTGCTTCGCCTTTGTGTTCACCTTCCTCTTTCTAATCCTCCTCCTCCTCGTCCTTCTGCCCCTCGTCTTCGCATTCCTCCTCCTCCTCCTCCTCCTCCTCCTCCTCCTCCTCCTCCTCCTCCTCCTCCTCCTCCTCTCCCCTTCCTCCAGCCCGTCCAACCCGTTCTTTTCGTTAAACCTCCTCGTCCCGTATGTTCTCCACTTCCTCCATCATGCCGGGGGTACCCTCGCACTCTCGATGCCGCTTCCACGGAGCAGCCTCGCCAGGGGTACCCTCAACCAGATACTTCGTTCGGGGCCTGGTCCCGCCTCCCTCCTCCGTTCTGCTCTTTTCCCCCTCCAGCTCTCCTGGCCAATCCTGCCTCCTCCCTGCTCACCGAGCGCTCGCTCGAGGCCCCTTCACAAGTCGTTCCAGCGTGGCTCCCCCCTGAGAAACCTTTGCGATCGTCCAGCGAACAGTGCTCGCGCCTCGGCGCCGGCCTCCTCCGTCGGGCCAGGGCGCCCAGACTCCAGAGCACAATTCGTTTAGGTCTGACCCCTCCTCCTCCCCCCTCCCTCCTCCTTCTCCCTCCTCCTCCCTCCTCCCACCTCCTCCATCCTCCTTCTCCCTCCTCCTCCTCCTCCTCCTCCTCCCTCCTCCCTCCTCCCTCCTCCTCCTCCTCCTCCTCCCTCCTCCTCCCTCCTCCCTCCTCTCTCGGAGCCCAGAATTGCGAGGATGGCTCGGGCGAAACTGGTCGGACCACACAGCGCGCGGCATGATTTGCACGGCAGTCTTCGGCAGAACGGGCCACACCACCTTGCGCACCTCGTGTCAGAGCCCGGAATTGCGAGGACGTCCCGGGCCCGACGCGCCGGACCACCTCTTGTGAAGCATCTCGAGACCCAGAACTGCGGGGATGTCTCGAACGACACGGGCTCGACCACCTCGCGCGCGACAGTTCGAAGCTCAGAGGTGCGAGGATGTCGCAGGCGGCACCCAGTCCACTCCCACAGCGCAATGCGACCAGAGAGATGTAATCAAATGTTTCTGGTGGG